CGAGCGCGCCCTCGCGCGTCCTCCAGATCACCTTCAAGGGGGCGGGGAAGAGCTGCCCGCGCAGGACCACCTAGCGACAGTCACCCGCCAATAAACGCTCGGAACTCGCCGAGTGGTTCCCGCCCCGCAAGTCGCCCGCAAGCGCCCAATCCCGACCGGGTTAATCGTTTGCGTACGGAACATCCAGAACTTGGGGGCGGGGACGTTAGGAACTAAATTAAGAAACCAAGTCTTGGAGTGGTGGGTAGGTGGGGAGGTTAGGCGGGGACTCCGCCGGCGGAACGCCCGCAGCCCCTCCCGCCACGGCTCCCCGGGGACGGTGGCTCCGGGGCCGCGTTCTCCGCGCGCAGGCCCCGCCGCGATCCGTGGTAAACAAAGGCTCTCCGGGGGTGGGGGTGGGGGTAACGGTCAGGTGACAGTAGCGAGCACATTTCGCAACCGTTTAGCGGGGCTTCTCTGGCCCGTAGCCTGGGAACCCACCTTGATCCCGCCAGTCCCCCCAGACAAACAAGGGTCCCCCACCAAACGGGAAGGCTTGATCTGAGGCCTTCACATTCTCAGCAATTCCTTCGATTGAAAAAGGGAAGCGGCCCGTTCGAAGCCCATGGGCCACACGCAGGACCCATCTCCCGGGGCCCGTCCGCCAGCTGCTCCCGCCCCCGAGGTGACAGGGTGACCCGCACCTGCTACCCCCAGCCCTGGCGGCCGGGCCCCTCCCAACCCGGCCCCCGCGGGGCGCGTCAGCAACGCCGCGGTTCCGGGGCGGCCGTGCCAGGAGGCTGGGGTGCTCTCCCTTCAGGACTGTCGTTACCGAGCGGGGCTGAAGACCCCGAGGAAAGCCCTGCAGACCCCTCGTCCCAGACAGGGGCCCTGCAGCACCGACCGCAATCTCTCCTCAGACCCGCCTCGTCTGGCTCCGAGAGGCCGGCCGCCGCTGGCTTCCTTCCTGCAGACAGACACCCCCGTGGTCGTGACCTCGGTCGCCCCTCCGCCCCCGGCTCTGGCCGGTTCCTCGCCTTTCGGCCGGTCCTGGAGCTGTCATCCCCGGGTACCTCGCGAAGAAGGCTGGAGGCGGCCAGCAGCAGTGACCAGCAGCGGCGGCCCCAGCGGTCCGTTAGCGGCTGGCGGCGCAGCGCTCCTCCAGCCCCGGCGTCTCCTCGAGCCAGCCTGCTGCAGCTCACAACAAAGGAAACATGTGACCGCCAGGGCCAAAACACTGAGCGTCACCGACCCTTGGCCAATCCGAGTGGGCTCCCCACGCTCGGGGCACCCTGGGAGATGTAGTTCCTACACCCGAGGCGACCGCCGAAACCACTTGGGTTTTGTGCAATAGAACGACGTCGGGTGTGAGCGTGACGAGACCCAATCCAGGGGCTGCTGATTCAGAAATACTTTGTTTTAGTTAGAGACAGATTAAGGAAATGCATCGTTTTAGGAGCCTAGTGAGAAACCTGTGTGGTATGTTTATTGCCACGTCTAAAGCACATACACATTTCCATTAAGTCGCAGAACCTTAGAGTGTGGGCTGAGGCTTAAAGATCTTTTAAATTTGACCCCTTGATTCCAAAATTGTGAAATCTGAGGGCCTGGCGGGTGAAAGGGAATAGAAAGAACCTTGGTCGCCACACGGCGCAGGAAAACCGTCTTTCTATGTAAATCTGTTACTGTCACCTGTATTAAATGCTAGGTTACCATTTTATTTTATTTTATTTTATTTTATTTTATTTTATTTTATTTTATTTTATTTTATTTTATTTATTTATTTATTTATTTATTTATTTATTTATTTATTTATTTTTAAAGTTTTATTATTGTTTAAAATATTGCAGATGTCCCTTTTTCTCCCCAATGACCCGTTCCACCCCGTTCCTTCCCCCTCCCCAGTCCCTCTCCCCACCATTGTCCATGTCCTTGGGTTGTGTATATATGCACATAAATGGTTACCTTTTTATTTTAGACGAACATGCAAATCAAAGTTGTTGCAAATCCCTACTTTCCAAGGCAGATAGATTCACCAGAGGATATTTTGTCTTATTGTTTCTGCAGATATTTTTTTCAAGGATGGGTATGCCTCTGATTTTCAAAGATTTAACTAGTTTTTGGTTTCTGATATCAGAATTATAATTTCTTCTATTCTTTATGAATACAGTCATACCTTTATTAAATAAGGGGTTGTGTTGCAGTGACCATGGGTGTGTATGATATAGAACATGCTTTTTTTTAGGCTTCTTTCCCACCTCGTATTACAAATGAAAATGCCTGCGATTGACTGAGTTCCTACTAAGCTTCAGACTCAGTGCTAGGCACTTTTATATATCATTGAATCCTCATAATAGCTCTGCAAGATAAGTGGTATCTCATTTTACAGGTGAGGAAACTAAGCCACAAGGATAAAGAGCCTGCCCAGCGGGACAGGCGTGGCTCAGCAGTTCAGCATTGACCTAGGATCCAGGAGACAGGTTCTGTTCGGGTCAGAGCACAAGCCGGGGTTAGGCCTCGATCCCCAGCAGGGGGCGTGCAGGAGGCAGCCGATCAATGACTCATGTTTCTCTCTCTCCCTCTCCCTCCCTCTCTCTCTGAAATCAATAAAATAATAAAAAAAAAGAGTCTGCCCAGGTCACTCAGTTATTAAATGGTGAAGCTGGAGTTCACACATACATTAAAGAAAGAATTGTACTTATATTAATGTAGCTACACAATTTTCTAAATAGTTTATTTACAAAGTTAAATATTACAAGATGAGTAGTGCCACAGCAATCCCATCTCCTACCCTTCCCCTTCCTGATTCTCCAAAAGCAACCACTTTCAACTATTTGAACTCTTCTGGTACTTAATCTCCATATAGCATAGCATAAGGCTATTTTCTATTAAGGCAGTTGTCATCCCTGTCCCCTATCCTTGCAATAGTATAATTTCTGGTTAAAAAATTACTTAATATTTATGTTATTAAGACTACTTATTATTCAATGCTGAGTAAAGAGTATACAATTTCCTTTCTTGTGTGGATTTCTGTTTTTCAGGAATAGGCAGGAAACTAAGCACCGGTGAGTCCTCACTTCCTTGATAAAGTCTCAATTCCATGGCAGGGCATACAGGTCCTTCCTGATGCACCTTAAGGTTTATCTCTTCAGCCTAAACACCAGTCTCAATAAACTACCCGTAACTGCCCAAAGGATGGACTCTCTCTGTGCCTAGGCCATTCCCATTCATATCCTGCTCCACATGCCTCCTGTGCCTGCTCCCTCCTTTCACCCCACCCACTAGGCTAGCTTCTGCTCTTCCTTCCAGGAGTCAGCTTGTGGGTCCCCTCTCCTGGGAGACTCTCTTTTCCTCCTCGCTTTCTTCTGTGCTAGGTATCTCCCCTCAGCAACCCGTCCTTCCCTCCTTCCCAGTCGTCACACCAATCGTCCATGTTTATTTACATGCCTTTCCCAACTGAGTACCCTCTGAGATCCCTGAGGTCAGGGATCATGTCTTACTCATTTTGTATCATAGCGCACCTAGCAGGTGTTTAATGTGTTTCTGTTAACTGATGAATTGGTTTCTACTTCTTGAGGTTAAAAGGACCTGAGGTTAAAAAAAAAAGTACCATCAGACCCCTTGGGATCCACTTGGACTAGGCTGTATGATGTCCTCAGACTCTCGGAGCAGATGGGTACAGGATCATCAATCAATTGCAACTCTAAGAGAGGAGGAGAGGGAGGGGACTACGGGCCAGGCAGCCCTGGAGACAGGCAGAACACTTCTGGTGGATGTGAGAGCTCCTCAGGCAGCCAGAGCTGGAGTGGTTTCAGTGTTGGTGAAGGACCTTGGAAGTTATGCATACCCCACAAGTCAGAGGGCATGGCCAAGTAGCAGCTTTTTCTCAGCTGGGGCTGGAATAAAAGCAGAGCTGTCAAGTCCAGGGGGAATCTTGTGAAACTGAGTGAGATTAACCTGTAATGTGATTTATTCTATATGGTGTTTACAATCCAGGTTGGCCTGGCCATTTGAAAGAGGCAGATACTTGGAGGGG